TTAACTACAGGTGGTTATATTTCATTTTTTACATTGTTCATGTGTCTATTAATAAATCTATTGGAGTAATACATTTCGATTACAGCATAATGTATATATCCTAATTTCGTCACTAGCTTGTTATCATCTACATTATTACTATTTTCAAATGAATACATGCATTTGAAAAAAATGTTGTTTGCTAAGGCATGTTTTAATTTTAACAATGGGTATATTTAATATTAATATATGTGTAAAACTTGGACACTGTGGTAGTAAGTAATTCCATATTAGCTTGTTTATTAGATATATCACACAGTGGAACAGTATTATTATTTACTGGATGATGTTTCGAACAAAATTTATTATTGTTCATAATCATATCAATTGTAATCACACTACTTTGAAACTTGAGCTTTATGGTTTTCTTTGTCTTCTCCTATTTGTCGTGGGTTAGTAGAATTTTCCAGATATCTTGGTGGACAGGTGTTGAATCATTCCTATTACATGTATTTGCAGTTGATTCGATAAACAAAGCTTCTGTTATCAATCTCTCCCTTCACCCTGTGACATCAGATTTTAAAACTGTCATCTTATCCCATCCTACTGTATGGTTGTGTGTGGTTGCATGTAATGCTACAGCTGAACTATTTTCTAGATTTCTTATCTTATTCTGGTCAACTAATCTAGATTTTGCTGCTAGGTTTTAATGCTCGGCTAGTCTGACTGCCCCTGTTCTACTAGTTTGACCTATGGACTTGACCTGACAATCATTGTAGGGTACTAGATAAACTAAATTGTTCTGTTTTAAAGTCTTCACAGGATCCTTTAACCGACAAAGCTTGTTTCTAATTGAGTTTGTGGGTTTGAATGCCACTTTTATTCCTGCCAGCATTGTTAAGAATTCTGCGTAAGGCTTCCGAGGTTCCTTCCTTGTATGGAATTACTGTTGATGATTTAGATTCCTTATTGTTGGTGTCGTCATTAACATTATTATTATTAATATCACTATAATTATCACCATTATTATTGTTATCATTATTACCACTATCGCTACTATCGTTGTTTATTTTATTTTTACATTTCCTTACATATTTCCTGACTAATTTATCCGGGTAATTATTAAGTTTCAAGGCTTCTTTTATGTGTGTCACTTCCTGTCTTAAATTTTCTTTGGTACAACTTAGTTTTTGTGCTCTGTTATTTAAGCATTTCACTAATCCTATTTTTACTGACATAGGATGGGATGATCGGAAATCCAAATATCCGTTCGAATGTGTGGGTTTCCTGTAAACACTAGTGTTTAGCTTCCCATCTTCTTTCCTTTTTACGTTGCAATCTAACATTGAGAGCTCCCCTTCCTGATTTTCCAATTCATAAGTGAATTGAATTGCCTCTACTTTCGAGCTGATGTGTTCGAATCAACTGCAAATATATATAATAGGAATGATTCAACACCTGTCCACCAAGATATCTGGAAAATTCTACTAACCCTACGACAAATAGGAGAAGACAAAGAAAACTATAAAATTCATGTTTCAAGGTCGTGTGATTACAATTGATATGATTATGAACAATAATAAATTTTGTTCGAAACATCATCCAGTAAATAATAATACTGTTTTACTGTGTGATACATCTAATAAACAAACGAATATGGAATATTTAATAGTTCATTATTGGAGTTAACAAGTTGTGTGTTAATATTGAACAATGAGGAATCGTTCAATATTCAATGGTATATATATATATATATATATATATATACAAATATAGGCACATACTCATATGCACAGAATTGAACTGTGTCAAACAATTGTTTGCCTTCATCTAAGAAAAAGAAACAACCTCCACAAGGTCATGAAATATTATCGAGAATTTGCAAATATGCTTCTATTATAAACTTAATGAAGTCGAATTTTTTTAAAATTATTTTGTAACTTCTTAATATTAAATCTTTGACCTTATTATAAATGATAAGTTTGGGATGACAAAAATAAAAATGATAATAATGATAATAGCAGTGGTCACACAGTGTGCATGTGTCTATGTATAACGAGTTACCTTACCTTAGATGAGGAGAGATAAACAAAGTTATAAGAATGAGTAAAACAGGAAACTGATAGAAACACGTCACGTTCATGAAAAAAAAGAAAGTATAACTTGGTTAGGATGATGCACAGGAAGTATCATGAATTATAAAGTGAATATATATAAATATGAAGAAACGACTGAATGACACAAAAGTAGGGAACAACTGTGAACAGGATGTCATTGGCTTACTGCCACTTCGATCACTTCCATCAATGTGTAAACTTATTGATTGAAAATGTAGGATTTTCGCCTTCTTAAATTTAAACATTCCATAAGAGAAGCAAAAAGAAAACATAAAATGGAGAAGACAAACTGCTAGTAATCACAAAAATGAAAAATAGTCCTAATCATTTGAATTATAATTCTGTAACAACAGAAGACAAGCGCCAGGCAACAGATCCTTTATTAAGGAAATAAACACATATTCATAGATTTTCATGTACATATTATAGATTATTGTTATCAGAAAAACACAGCCCTCTAATTGGTTGTTTCTCACAGAAAGTTAACCTTGCATCTCTTTGTGGTTGTTTCTTTAATGTCAGAACATCTACACGTTAACTGTATCCGCCTACGCAAAGCCTTTGTTCCCATTTTTCTCACGACCAATATTGGGGACATAAGCATTGACGTAAATTACTGTCCGTCAATTTCGGCTAACAGCCAGCTCTCACCACAATTCTCCATAGCCATATCATATCGGTGAGGAGTAGGAGGAACAGATATTAATACGAGTGAATTCATGATAATTAAAATCGATCCCGATTTCTACACAATATATATATATATATATATATATATATATATATATAGCGCTGACTTATACGGTGAGTTATAAATCATTCACAGTAACCAGTAGTGCCTGCTAACCAGGCTGAATAGTTGTGGATGACCCGAAGGTCCCTAGGGCAGTCGCAGGTGGAGACTGGCGAAGAGTTTCAGCGCAAAACGAAACACTTGCCGAATGCTCTCTGGTTCTCAACGGCTTTATAACTGACTACACCTCAGAACGTATTATCCAGATTTTAATAATAATGTCATTTCTTGACATCAGGTAGATTATATTCATCGCGTTCCAACTGATGAACAGGGATATCAATCTTGAAGTTTCAGTATTGTTGGTGTTGAGTTTCCACAGTGGTGTCACCAGTCTCACGCTTAGCCTTTCCTCTTTCTCCGGGCTTAGTACCGACTGTAGACTAGGCTATATTTAGAAGAGAAGAGAATCCCGGGCCATGTGCATAATTGGTAAGCATTCAACCGTTCAATCATCGGTAAACATTTTTGACGTAGAAATACAGAATACAAAATACTCTAAGAGGTATTAGTTTATACTGTAAACGTTAACAAACACGCAATCTAATTGAAGACGATCGCTTCACAGTCACTACTTGTGCACGTCATCATTGCTGGTAATGGCGATTTTATTTAGTCTAGTGATCACTCTTCACAAAGACAGGTGAAAAATGAAAAAAAAAACATAATGTTGTTGTAACTTTTCCACTACTGACTAATAAAATTAATACATACACACTAATTTCTTTACGACATTAGGCGTTGGAAGGCAATCAGTGAGGAGATTTAAATAGCGATTATTTATAAGCTGGCAAGGTCATTTGCAACACTTTTAAATATAGCTAATGGGGATGCAATTATTGATTCACATTGGGAGAGAAATAAAGTTCATAAACATATTTACTAGTTTATAATCAAGCACCTTATTCTTTATCGAAGTGAAAAAATCACCGGAAATCTTTATATGCATGATGTATTCAAAGTGAGGCTAGGTGTAAGTGTGAAACTAACAACTAGATTTCAGTGTATCTTCAATTAATTAGTCAATGAATTCGAAATTCCTCCCTGAGTACTTTAGTTGACTGGAACTTCATGGTTCAGTCAGTGATAAAGTTTCACTTATAGTAAAAACCTATAAGGTGTCACACTGTGGTGAGAGCAGGCTGCTAGCCAATTGGTAGATATTAATCTACGTCAATGTCTAGGTCACTAATATTGACCGTGAAAAAACATGAACAAGGCTGATTCAACAACCAATCACAGCAAACTTAACGTGGGCAAATATGATTCGCAGAGAGATGACTCCACTTTCCGAGGTTACCCGAAACAACCAACCAGAAGCCTGCGTTTGTCTACCTAAACAACTAATCAGAAGACTGCGTTTGTCTACTTGCATAAGCTATAATAATGTACAGGAAATATATATAAATACGTGTTGATTTCCGTAATAAAACGATCTGTTGCCGGCCCTTGTCTTCTGTTGTTACAACACTCAGTCATTGTATCGATGAGACAGCAAAAAACAGTTTCTATGACACAATCACACTCGCTAGTTCGAAAAGAATTCAGGGAATTTCAAGAAAGGAAGAAGGGGGAAAACAGATCAACTTTTCACTACATATTTACACTATCCTATCCATTTTGTATTCTGGGGGAAAAAAACAACATTTTTATGATCTATGCACAATTTACTCTGATATTAGTATATCGAACATAAAAACAAAAAACTAGGTGTCTCCATCATCTCCCCACCCTTTCTCTCCTTCCCCCAATTTCTCGCTCTCTCTTCATCGAGGTGGCAGTAGCAACAGAATGCAGGAGACTAACTGTATTAAGTACAATATACAATAAGTTTTATTGACATTATATATAAATAGGGTGCATGAACATTCCAGTGAAACTTTATTACCTTCATCAAATGAATTATTTTTCAAACAAAACTACAAATAAGGCAGATTAAAAGGCAGAAGTAAATAAACAACGGAAACAAGTGACAATTTAAAAAATAAATAAATGAACAGAAAAATAATAATAATTAAAAAAACAACGACAACAAAAATAATCAAAATCTATATTCCAAAAAAAAACAAAGCTCAAAATTAAACAAAACAAAATAATATTTTTTTACTCACTTGCAGTGAAGTAGATTCTAGTCCGGATTCATCGCAAAACATTGTCAATTCAGAGCTTTGTTCATTACCAATGAATAAGTCAATTGCAGCTTGACGAGTTATCTCACGAAGACGTAAATAGTAACTGTGTATTGAAGAATTGCCCAAAAATAGATAATTTTTTGAAAAATACTGATATCAATCCATGATCAACTCGTAAAAACAAAACAAACCCTTACAAACCAAACTATAGAAAATTAATCTGATGCTCGCTAATGACTTGCTACAGGTCGGAGTTTCCTGAGTTCTAGTGAGAAGTCGTGACCAGCGAGGAGGTCCAATTAGATGTCACGTGTGTGGATGGATGTCCCACCAACGACAATGGTTGGCGTCGCGCTAAAACACGAATTGGTAGAAGTTAGAATTCATGGGTTGGCCATTGAATCGGGTCCCAGTGGCTGAATGGTATACGAGCTCGCTGGCCTTGTACCCGGAAGGTGCCGGGTTCGAACCCTGGTAGTGGGTGAGTACTGCGAATGATTCCCAAACTACGATGAAACAGCAGCTGTCCAGTACTCCCTGTTTGTTTTTAATGGTTCTCTAACTGATATCAATCCGTGATCAACTCGTAAAAAGAAAGAAAGGAGAACAAACATGAAATGAGTTCAGATGTTATTTTTTTCCTTTTGTCCTTCCAAAGGAGGAATATTTTGTCCATCAGATAAATTTATGTGAACCGGGAATTTCAAATTACAGATTTGATTAGCACTGGCACTTTCATGCCTAGTTAGTTATATACACACTGAATTATAAATTTGATGATACAGTTGATGTGTCAAAGTTAAATGAATGCATTTATTTGAAATCCTATTTCAAGTGTTATAAAAAAAATACAATAAATATTCATTGAGACTAATTTTCTCCTTTGTGTTCTCAACAATTTATGTGATACTATTAATGTGTCACCGTTATCATCCTTGTGATAGAATGTTCGATACAGTTTTTTTTCCTTCACGTTCCCCAGTGGAACATAGGGCGGCTTTAAGCTAATGGCTTGAATTTTCTGTAGCAGTGTTTAGTTTTTACAGGATGGGTTTGCTAGCCTCATGCCCAACCTTTCCTCTTTTTACCAGCATTATTTCTGGCTCAGCGAGGTAAAGGAGTTAGTCGGTGGCCGAGGATCGAACCCCGGACCATGTGCATGGTCGGTGAGCGTTTTAACCGCTATAGCACCGACGCACGTTCGATACAGTAAAGAACAGATAAAGTGTTACTGATTGATTGGCAGTCATTTTGAGCACAAATTATTATTCCGAATCTCATATCACAGCCATTCAAATACAATGTTGACGGCGAATTCATTCCACTGAAATTAAGGTGAATTTTTTTCAAATATCAAATAATCCCATCACTTATCCATCAGTCGAGCTCTCATTACTGACTAACCCTTCAAATTGAATTTCGTCAGGGTCTAGTGTAAATTTTTGGCTACAAGGAATTATTAATTCAACCGTAGCACAGTCAGTCATTGATTATACTGAGTGATCGATTTATGGTGTATAATGTGGATTAAGAAAACTAGAACTGAGCTCGAACCCTGATGAGATTCTATCTGTCTGTCTGTCTGTTTTCAACATAGAACTTTGCACATATGTGCCCCAGTTCAAGTCGTCACACTCCCTCTTTGTAGCACACAAAGCAAGACAAGAAAGTACAAGAAAAGCATAATAGAGACAGTAAGCAGAGATATGAGACAAAGGAAGAGTAATAACGAAGAACAAAACAGTTTCATTGGAAATCATAAGTCACAAGGAGTGGATGCATCTGCGATTTTGAGCCATATCACCAATTGTTTCCAACCGTTCCGAGGACCCCGACCAGGAAGCCAGTCTACACCTTCCTACGTGGCTCAAACTGACTGTTGTAGATTTCATTGACTGGTTCAGCCATGTTTTGGTTTGACCACCGCTAGCTTTTTTCCAGCCTGACCCTATATCCGCTAACATTTCCCGTCGAGGAAGGCGATGGCTAGCCATGCATGCGTAATACATGTCCTAACCATCTCAGTCAGTGTAACTGCACAGCCTCTTCGATTGATTTCCCCTCCTTACCTAGAACTCGACTGATACCTAACCTCAATATTGCTCACCTTATTATGCCACTTCACACGGGAGATAGAACGCAGGCACCTATGATCAAAGACAGCTAATCTTTTCGTGTCTTTTTCTATTTTTTATGTTTTCATGATGAGATTCTCGACTTACATTGCTGAAAAGATCTAAACAACTAGGAAGAAAGAAATACCCAGTGTTCACTAACATTCTGTGATCCTCGAATAATGAAAAACTGCATTTATATTATATAGTCAAATTTAAACAACCATTGAATTATGAATGACGTCAAAATGACATAGACATTGTACATGAATATCATTCATACACCAGAGTAGAAAGTGAATCAATTCAGTCAAACATAAATATATATAGTGAAATTTCTCAAAATTAAATAACATCTTTAAATGAATTTATGAAATATTTTATGAGGCATAAAAATTCATGAAATAACCTTGAAGAGTAAGTATACTGTTGATTTCCTGCGCTTTCTTCCACCACTCACCCACTCACACATTCCGGTTATTCGAGAAATTCATTGAAACGCAATGAAAACTATTCAACTTATAACATTAGTCTACGTTACTAAACACATTTGTATCGTTTACCTGAACATAAAATTTTATCATCAATAAATAAACTTTTAATTCTGAATTTCCATTTTTTGGGTAGAATGATTATTTCCATACAATACAAACTTGCCTAGTTATATATATTTTATAATTGTATTATAAATATAATTTTTCAGGTTACTTTCATTAGTAAGTGAATAAATATTCTATAAGTTGTTCATATTAAATCAATTTTTAATGAAATAATACTCTGTGAAACTTTAATTGTTTTATATTAAATAAAATTATCTTTTATAAATGAGTAATTTGTTTCAATTTTGTCCTTATTTGATATTAATAAAATTTTGAGGAATTTGATTTATTCGGTTACATTGATATCAAGCAGATAAATGACATAGAAATGAGATGGATGAACCCATTGGAAACTAAAGAAAACAACAACGCTAAATTCAAATATTCAGTCTTATTCGCAGATTGTTTTATTTGTGGGCTTGTGCGTGTGTGTGTGTGTGTGTATGCGTTGAGGTTTTATTTCACTTTCAAAGAAGTGCAGTGATCTATAGAAAGGTGGTCATCCATTTTCGAAGAAAATAAGGCTGAATCCAGTACTTTGAAATAAAAGAAAGGAAAGTAAGTAGTGACACTTGTGTTTTCAGTTGGAAACACTTTATTTCCCGATACGAATTTAAAACAAGCAACAAAGGTTAATAAAGCAGGATTTAATGAATTCATCGAATTTCGCTAGAACTCTTCAGTAGAATACTCTACATACAGGGATATATATATATATATATATATATGTACTACTAGAAATACGTTAGGAGATATAAGACTGATAAGCAGATAAACTACATTGAATTAATCATACAAAACGACATTTGTGAATGTTTTTCAGGTCATGTTCAGATAGATAAGGGGAAGGTAGTATAAGAAATTAAAATTAAGGTAAAATGCACTGCGCTTCAATTACATAGGACTCCAGGTGAACATAGAGAGAACAGGTGATGAAGATTCCTGGCCAACACCAACAGCAACAACATCAACAGACAACAATCAGCCAGTATAAATAGGAGGAACCTGAAAGAAACAACCTCCTTTACCTACCGACATAGGAAGCATCGTTTCAACTACAGGCGGAACTGACGAGGATATCAAAGCAAGGATCGGGGAAGCAAGACAAGCTTTTATTACTCTCAAGTCTGTGTGGAGGTCAACATCACTCAGAATCAAAAATAACATCCGATTTCCAACTCCAATGTAAAGTCAGTGCCACGTACTATACGGATCAGAGACCTGGCGCGTCATGAAGAGCACCTCAAACAAACTACATACCTTGATTAACAGTTTTCTTCGCTCACTACTCAAGATCAGATGGCTGGCCAGAGAAGATCAGCAACAGGGATCTCTGGCAATGAGCGAACCAACCAGGAACCGATTGTGAAACAAATAGGCAGGAAGAAATGGAGATGGATTGGCCATACGCTGAGGAAACCATTAAGTGACATCACTAGACAAGCCCTCAAGTGGAACCCGAAAGAGAAGCGGCGAGTTGGTCGTTAGTATGAGGGTGACTTGGAGGAGGTCATGTGAAGAGGAGATGAAAGCATGTGGGCAGACTTGGAGCGGGGTGAAAATGTCGGCAGAAAACCGAACGCAATGGAGACGTGCGGCTGAAGCCCTATGTTCCTCTAGGAATTAAAGGAAATAATGATAATTCAATTACATCACTTAGACAAACAATCAGTCATTCGAGAAAGAACTTATATATGTCAACAGTTGTGAACCGAGTAATATGAATAGTAATAGTTGTAATGATAGTGCTGAAACGAGTTAAGATAATGCTGCTGATCAAAGATATTTTTAAATAAATCAGGAATAATGAATAAGAGATAGAACAAAGTGTTAATAATATTATTAATAATAATAACAGTTAATAGGCAAAACATATTGCCATAGTAGATTCAGAGTGACGACCATCTCCTTTTGTACACAGAGAACTGGTTTGTAAACTCGAATTGCACAAGCCTCCACAATTGCAAGCATGTTATCAGTTGATAAACTGTAACATCCTTATCCCTTTTATGAGCGATAAACAGATGACCAGCGATATATATATATATCGCTGGTCATCTGATAAGAATGATAGGAAACTGCTCGCTCACCAGTCATAACGTAGTGATTTAGGTAGTGATGATAAGTCCTGTATATACTTATAAGTGATATTATACATAAAATGGTGCGATAAATGGCAAGACGTTGAAGATTCACCCGGGTTTCTTTGTGTCATGGAGACTGACTCTACATTACATCATCCAGCTCACCATTTTTTCCAATCATCAACAGTACCTCATGGACACGTCTACACAGTCAAGTACTGTAGGAGTCTGTTTACAGTCCAGGCAGTAATACTTAGTAATGTTGGTCTGAATATTCAATGGACAATAAATCCTAGTTGTGGTTCA